ATATTAAAGACTTGATTTATTGGTTTGGCCTGACCTATTATAAAAAACTAAAAAACCTAATGTGGCCTGTAAGGCCTACCAAGTTGCAAACCAAGGGGGTGTACTGGATTAGGATTTCAGAGGATTTTAATGGATTATTTTAGACAAAAAAATCCATTGGTATTCAATTAAAATTTTAAAGCATTGAGGAAAAACAATATTGTGGTATTCAAAAATCTGACAATTTTAATGGATTTTTCATTGGAGTGGATTTCGTGAGACTTTTTAGTGAGAAATATAAATAAGATGTCTCTCTCACAATCTCACCCTAACCCCTAGGATTTCTTGAGATTTCTATACTGCAGTGTCTCACAATCTACTCTAGCATTTTCTCAAAGCCAAGGTATGTTCTTTTCTGACTCTCATATATTTTCTCAGGTATGGGTATTCCTCCTTCATGACTAATGATACTGTTTGTCGTATGTATTTATCAGGTTTTGGTATTCCTCCTTCATGATTAATGATGTGCTTCATTTTATTTTTTACCAGAGTTGTATAGAGTTGACGATAAACATGTATCTAATCTCTAAAATTGAACTAATAAGCTTACCACATACATTATTTGTCGACCTTCTTCTTTTGTATATTGTTTGGATTATAATAAGCATAAAATCCTAATATTCTTCGTGTTTGGCAATGATACATATTAAAAATCTTAATAATTCGATGGCAAGCTCTATTAAAATCCTAATATTCTTCGTGTTCAATCTTCGTCATGCATCATTGAGAAATGTAACTGAGAGGATATTTGGCATATTTAAATCACGGTTCACAATTTTTAAGTCAGCACCTCCATTTTCATTTAAAACACAAGCAGAGCTTGTGCTAGCATGTGTAGCACTACATAACTTTCTTCGCAAAGAATGTCGTTCAGATAAATTTTCAATTGAATCAGTAGATGCATCTTCATCTTCAGTATCACCAGTTAATGAAGAAGATAATTTTTAACTCATTGGTCAAACCCAAGAGCAGGAATAAGAAGATGCTGATGCGTGGAGGACTAGTATAGCTTTAAATATGTGAAGAGCTTATACTTAGTAATTTTGAATGTTTGTTAAAAATTATATTAGTTTTACTAAGTTTTTAATTGAAAAAATTATATTAGGTTTTACTTTTTTATTAATATCATTGCATTTCTTTATTATTATTTTTATTGACTCTTGTAATTTTGAATATTTGTTAAAAATTTATATGATTTTTTAAAATCGTATAAATTCATATTGTCCTTTCAAATCTTATAAATTCTATTAAAATTTATAAGATTTTTTATCTCAAAAAAAAGTCTTTTAAAATCATAATTTAATACACCCCCTAAAGTTTATAGGCCCAAACCAAATTGAAATGTAAAAGATAAAAAAAATTATTCACAAAGATGACATGAAATAAATTTTCATTAACATCACATGAAATAATGTTCATAAAGATCACATGAAAATGTTCATAAAAATCACATTAAAATTTCATATATATATATATATATATATATATATATATATATATATACACACACACACACATATAATTTGCACTTTTTTTACTAATTGAATTTTATATTATATTTTAAATTTTAAATAAATATTTATTATTTGTTAAAACAACATTAATCCTATTACTTTGAAAATTAATGTTACAAATTATGATCTTAGAATATGCTTTTAAATGAATAATATATATCATAAATATATTATATTATTAAAAAATAAAAGGTATGTGTAATTATGATAAATATTTCGATATGTCAAATTTTTTGGCCCGACTAAAATTAAATTCTGGCTCCACCACTGGTTTGATCGGACAGAACAACAAGTAAGGTAAACAAGATAAACAAGAAATATGTTTCTTCTTTCGCTGTCTCTCTCTTACATTGTTACGTTAGAACGAGGAATTGATTTGAGACAGAAAGAGTGTGAAAACTGAAAAGCAAGATTTTCTTTTGAGATGAAAACGGAGGCGGTGGGAACCAATTCAATCTATTTGGTGAGGCTAGATTTATAATTTTATATATCTCAAAGATATGGATTAGTATTATTATATCTCCGTGGAGTGATGGATCAATCAACAAATTAATGACTCTACTAATTTTTCTAAAATATTATACAATACAAATTAACAGAAGATGTACCAACCCTAAAAAAATGACGTGTTTTATTATAAAAATTGAGAGATAGGCACATTTTAACTTGCTTTCTATATTGATAGGCACATTTTATGTATCTAATTGTATTTTATGTATTTACATAGGAATAATTTACCCAACTTATGCTTATATCACCAGGATAAAAAAAATTAAAATATTTTAAATACATTTATGTTTATAATGTATTAATTTAATATATTATTTCTAATTTTATTTAAAAGTAATATATTAAATTAATATATTTAAAATCAAATTAAATCTAATCATGCCAATTATTAAAAAAAACTTTAAAATATATTTTGTTTTTAAAATAAAATAAAATAAAAACATAAATGAAATGATAATTAAAATTCATAAAATTTATATTTAATATATTTTAATTTTATTTGTCCTGATGATATAAGCATAAGTTGTGTCAAAATTTCTATATAATATCATAAAATTCAAAATTCAAAAGTACACAATACGATAAAGTTTTGTTTCAAAATTTGTCCTGATGATATAAGCATAAGTTGTGTCAAAATTTCTATATAAATACATAAAATTCAAAATTCAAAAGTACACAATACGATAAAGTTTTGTTTCAAAATTTAAAAGTAAATAATACAAAATTTTAAAGTACAAATTATTTTAGTTTTAAAATAATCATTGTTTAAAGTTTTGTACAAAAATTAAATAATTCATTAAATACTTTTCGATTTAATGAAAATATAAGTTTATTTGATTATATTACACCTTCACTCTATTAAATCATTTGGAATAAGTAGCAATAAAAAAATAAAGTAGAGTTAAGAAAATAATATATTTTTATTTTTTAAAGTGACAAATAATTTAGAATAAATTATAAATTTTTAAATACAATTAGATACATAAAATGTGCCTATCACAGTAGAAATCAAGTTAAATTCAACACCATATTATTTAAACATGGTCCTATCACTTAATTTGTTTTTAGTTTTTTTTTTTAAAAAAAAAAAAACCCAAGCAAGACCTGAATATCAAACTTGTGCAGGTCAACAAATTAGACAGGATTAATTATCAAACTTCAAGACCCGATACGTCAAATACTTTGACGGGATTAATTTAATTTCATTAGTTGCGTTGGTTTGTCTGACGGGAGTGGTTGACATGGAGTGGGAGTGTCATCAATGTCTCTGACGGGACTGGGTGCCGTTAACTTTTCTTACGGAACTGCTTGCACAATTCAAAGTGGATCAGTAGTCCCGTAACAATACATGATGAGACTGATTTCGTCATTCCTTTTGACATGTTTGACTATAGTCCGGTAAAACTTATCAAATGTAATTTTAATTGAAAATCTTCCACAAAAAATTCATACAACGGTGCTTTTGCCTGCTAAATATGCTTCATAAAATGCAGTGCAAGGTTTGCATATTTGCTATTGAAGCCTTCTTGGGGTGATGTGGATTACACAAGCAAAGGGACTCTAATTTTAGAAGTAATAGATGATGAAATTGAAGAAGGTGATAAAGAAAAGTTTGAGAGCAACAACGGGGAAGATCATGAACATGATGACGAAGGGATAGAAGATAAGCATCATATAGTTTGTGCTGTTGAAAGCTTTTATCCTCAGAGAGGTGGCAAAGTTCTTTCTCAAACTTGTACTCTGATGAAAAGGATAAAGAGAGGGATGAGAAGGAAGATAGAAAACTTGAATTTGCATTTTGAGAATCATGTAGCTTGTGAAACTCATGCATTAGAGAGGGAGCAAAAGATTGAAAGTTTTGCTACTGAGTCACCTATTAGAGCACAATCAAGTATATTTGAAGTGCCAGCATTATTCACAATGGATATGAATGCAGCTATAAAACAAACTTGAGAGAATTTCAAAGCTTGGATACAAACATGACAGGCTTGGAGAATTCTATAGGTTTGGAAGTTGAAGATTTAAAACTGTAGTTGAGTCACTTCCAGGGAGGATTACTATTTAAGAAGCTCATACTTTACCAAATGATGGCAACAATGTTGAATCTTCCTCAGAACCTTGGATAATACAAAAGGAACAGGACATGTTTTTTTAGAATTTCTTAACCATCATCTATTTAACTTGGGTTGTTCACGTTTCATGTTTCTATTTATTGAAGTCACCGAATGAAAACATAATGGGTTAGTACGATTATTTGAGTGATCCTGTTGCATATATTTTGACCATAAAATCTCACAAGTTTTTGGTCATGCAGCATATCTACCTCAATCTCAAGATCCAGCCTGCTCATATGAATGCACACAAGAAGATGAATATTCAACAAGTGATGATAATGCTGAAGTTCAAAATGCTTTTGATGAATTCATTGCTCAGAATAATCTTTGTGAGTCTCAAGCTTTATCCAATGGAGGTAGCAATGCAGTAGCAGCTATAGAAGAAGCAGATAATAGACAAGGTGTGTTAAGAATTAAAAGAACTTTACACACTCCCTTTGCAATTGTGTTGTTCGTGTTAGTAAAAGTAATAGTGATTAGTGGTGTGACCTGGTGTGACTTTATGTGGTCCACCTATATTGTTCTCTACTGATAATGGAGAACCGTATATGGTCTATTAATGTTGTCCACTTATTGTAGTGGTTAACCTACTTTTGTATTTGGTCTGCAATCATCTGAAATCATCAACTAAGTTTTGTTTTTGGTCTGCCATCAATTGACCCCATCTTCAGTGCACACTTGAACAGACTCTATGATGGAGGAGTCTATAAAAGGGTGCATCTTCAGCTTCATGAGTCCCTGAGCTCACTCTACTATAGAGCTGCACACCATCTGGGCTGCAGAGAAGAGTTTGGAAGACTCAATAGAAAATTTTCATATCAGTTGCAAAAACTATTCAAAACAAAAGGAAAGCAATGGTGGGAGGTATTTATGATCTATCATATTCTGCATTTGAGTATAAGTTAGAACTTACACTTCGATGTTTCCTAGTAACTAGTTCATCAATTGAAATTAGCATATGTAGATGTAATACGTTTGCATACATTACATGAGATATCATTTTTAATATATTTAAAATATCAACAATTTTAAGAAGTTTTTTCTCCCCAGCCAATAAGCCTCCATTTCATGAACCAGACTGCTCTTGTCAATGCATACAAGAAGATCAATCTTCAACCAATGATGATGATACTGAAGTTCCCAATGCCTTTAATGTGTTCATTGCTCAGGACAACATATGAAGGTTTTACATATCATACATTATTTTTTTTCTTTTCATTTTGTTTCATCTCATGAAACTCCAACTTCTGTTCCTTACCTTAATAGGAAATTGATGCTCTTTGAGGATGGAAGTGTTGCAAGTGAGGCAGAATGTGGTGATCCAGTTTTAACAATTAAACGGCTAAAATCATCTTAAAAATCTGAAAGAATCTTTAAGTGTTTTATATCAGGAACTAGAAGAAGAGAGAAGTGCCTCTGCAATAGCTGCTAACCAGACAATGACAATGATTACCAGGCGGCAGGAAGAAAAAGCAGCAATGCAAATGGAAGCATTGCAGTGCCAAAGAATGATGGAAGAGCAATCAGAGTATGATCCGGAAGCTTTGCAGATTTTGAATGATTTAATGATGAAAAGAGAGAAAGAGAAGCAAGAACTTGAAATGGAATTGGAAGAGCACAGGAAAAAGATACTGGACTATGAAGGAAAAGAGAAATTGAGGGTGTTGAGAAGAAAAGATGGAATTGTAAGAAGTAGAGACTCCTCTTCATCTTGCAGCAACATGGATGAGCTAACCATTGATCTTAATTAACTATGAAGCAAAGGATGAAGACAATGGCATCTTCAACCATGAGGAAAGCAGCCACAACAATTTAAGTGCTGATACAGTTTCAAATTTGGAGGAGATGGCAATAGACTGTGCAAAGTATATAAGTGTTGTTGATAATTCATTGGCAGAATTTGAGGAAGATAAGGTGTCCATTCTAGATGAGTTCAAAGCATTGAGGGAAAAACTTATCGCAGTGGTGATATAATGAGCAATTCCTTGATGAATTTAACTTGATTGAGCTTTCATCAAGACCAGGTGACAAAGACTTGATATGCAAAACTCATTTCCTACACTTGAAATGGATAGTATGAAGGTGTCCTTTGAAGAGGAGGTTGATCATGTTTATGAGAGGTTACAAGCTCTTAAAACAGATAGGGAGTTTCTAAAGCACTGTAAGGGATCCACACAGAATGGAGACAAAGGAATGGATCTTCTTCAAGAAATCTTGCAACATCTTTGTGCGAGCTCCTCAAAAATTTATCCCCTGCTCCTTTTATCTGTTTTGCATAACTACTAAATTTTAGCCTTTACCTATGCCAACAAATTCTAAAAAGTTTGAAAATTATCTAGTGCCAAGGCACTAGCTAACCCCAATGTGGCTTTGTCACTGAAGAGTGAAGTATAAAAAAGAGCTTTATCCTTCAATGAAGTGATAAGTTAGGCCTTCTAAATGGATCCAATATGACATCTAACACAAAGCACTTTGTTTTAGATTGTCTTAGAGATGAGTTCATCACATTTGGAGTTTCATTTAAGACTTATTATGGCAACCAATTCTCGTGATGTAGAGCTCATATTTTTTTATTTATTTTTTTGTGTGTACATATAGAGCCCATATTTAGTTGGGTTTATGTGTGATTAAAAGAATTTTGTTAATAGGTGAGCCAATGTTATTAAACTGATTATCAATTCGGTTGAGATACTAAGTTGACAAGTCATTGGCTCAATCTATGAATCACTTGTTGAACTTGCTGGTTGAATTACTTAATTGAATTATATAAGAATATATAATAAATGTAATAATAAAAGTATTATGATAAATATATACTTGTGGTATAGTGATTAATGTTAGAAAGATATAAAATTATTAATGTAATATCACCTAATATATTAAGGTTTTGGATTAAAATAGATCTTTACCATTAATGTTGCATTACGTAGGTTAGGTTGTGGGTGTTAACAGTATGAGCTTGGAAAATTTCACACGGCAAAATAATGTATCGATTATGTATAAATTATAATCTGTATATATTTGTTAGTTATGGTTATGATGACTGAAGTTACTGTTTAGACCTCATAATTACTTCTTCATGGATCATGATATTCATTAATTAATTATAATTTTTTCAAAAATATGTTTAGTGATATATTTTTATTTATTTTAAATAATTCATATTTCTATCGTCGATTTATACTCTCAATCAAAAACATATAATTGAAAATATTATATTCAACTGTCAAATTATTATTATTATTATTATTGTTATGAGGTGAAAAGTTTTGGGCGACCTTTGGAGGACAGTAGCCTCATTAAACTATGATGAATATGTAAGTATTTTATTTGAAAGTGGTAATTAGTGAAATGATTATAATGTTGATCATCTCAAAATAAATTTTTTTTTTGGTGAAGATCTCAAAATTATTTACTTCTTAAGAATAGTGTTGTAACAGAGTGCATGTCAAACAAATGGCATAACATATGCCGGAACAAAATTTTGACGTGCATAATTACACCAGATTGTTTTATTTACTCTAAAATCAACGGCAAATTGAGAAGACTAATTTTGTTAGGATGGAGAAAAAAAGATTATAGCGAATTATGAAGCGGAGAAAGTTATATTTATTATCATTTTAGACTTATTATTCTTATTATCTGATTAGTTACCGTTATATTAATTTGAAATCAACAATAGAAAAATAGAAGAAAAAAATAACTGTTGTTGATTTTGAATTAATCCTTTGATAAATAGAAGAAAAATGCATGTATCTCCAAGAAACTCTCAAAGAAAACTAAAGCGCTCAAAATGTAAAAACTGATTACAACTAAAAACTGAATTCTCTCTTCAACATGAAAATCTGACTTCCACTAAGTTCTGAGTTCCACTCCTTTTTACAAAACAAAGACTACTTTAAAAAAAAAAAAATCTTCAAATTGATGTTGTCCCTCATATCAAACAAGCATCCAACGACCTTCAAATTTCCATCTCATCTTCTTCTTTCATCTTTTATTGCCATGTGTCCTTTTCTGTGTATAAAAAGAAAAATAATTTGCAAAAAGTTAAAAATTTGCAAAAAGTTAAAATTCAAAAACTCTTTTCTTTAAATGGAAGAACACCAACCAACAGAGCATGCAGGAGCACTCCAGCACCATATATCCGCCTTTTTGAGTATCTACCCAACAACACTTCTGGTGCAACATATGCAGGGCTCCCAGCCAAACCCGTCAAGTTCTGACCTGCAATGCAAATTTCTAGACAATGAGGCTATGCATAAATTACTCATGTATGCATGTATGTATCTTTTACTTATGTGTGTGTATTTATATATATGTCAATTGAATTACTGATATTTTTAAATGCTTAAAAATTAAACAAAGTGACCTTAGAGTATGAATGGTTAGCTTCAAACTATTATAAGCATTTTCTCTAGGACCTCTTATTCTTAGACCGCTAGCAAATTTAATTGAATACTGAACATAGTAAACTTAAGGGAGATGACCATTTGAACTCTCCAATTTTTACTCCTATGTACAGGGTAACATTAGTAAAGTACAATTCAGTTGAAAGCTCATCATGATGAACTTCTTCAAACTTGCCTAGACATTTTTTATTAACAGAATGACTAGGATGGAATTTTACACAAGGAAGGTTGTGTAAGGATTCTATTCATAGAAGTTAGCACATATATATACCATAGGATAACAAAAAAAGAAGATCATCCAAACAGGTTTAACATATTACCCTTAGAAATTCTCATGGCCAGGCCAAAATCAGCAAGCTTTATTTCCCCCGAAGCAGTAAGCAGAATATTCTCAGGCTTGATATCTCTGTGCACAACTCCCATATCATGACAATACTTGATGACCAACATCACTTCCTTAAGTATATTAGCAGCCCGCTGTTCAGAACAAGGGCCCTCCCTAAACATCTGGTCGACAAGTCTTCCCCCAGAGCACAATTCCATCACCAGATGAGAGCAATCAGCTTCCTCATACACTGCCAGCAGAGTCACAACCCCAGGATGCCCAGACAAGTGCTGCATTATCTCCACCTCCCTGTAAACAGTCTCATCCCCCTTCTTCAGAGTCTTACACGCATACTCCGCGCCGCCAACAAGAGACCTACACAACGAAACAGATCCATACTTTCCTTGCCCGATCCTCACCCCAGTAACATAATCATCTTCAATCTTGTTCTTCCTCCCCATCTGGGTAGCCACGTCAATGCAACCTATCTTCCTCTTTAGGCCTCTTCCCGCGGTCATCAGAGACAATGTCCCACAAGGAGGAGCAGTGGCAAAACCCGCCAATTAAACTTCAAGAAAGTAAATCGAACCCCGAAGCTTTCTCGCAACGTAATGGCGCCAAAAAGCGCCATCACATCACGAGACCCCTGCAAGACAAGAAAAGAAGATGCCAGAACATAGAAAGAAAAAGAAACAAACCTTCGCAATCCCAGCCAATGATCCTGTAATGCGTTGCGGAGAGTATAAGCAATGAGAAAAAAGTCACAAATTGGGAAACTATTACGACGTAGTTTCTCAATCAGGGAATGAAACCCTAAAAATCTGCTATCAAAGTTTTAGGGGAATACGCGAACGACAAGCACATAAAAAAGAAAGAAAGAAGACAAACCTTGAGAGTCACACTCTTTTTGCTTAGCTAACGTTGTTTCCTTTAATATAATATAGGATGTTCCAGTTTATGTTCTCCTGCGTGCGTCACTATTTCAAGGGTGTATTTGATTACGATTTTAAAAAATTTCCTCAATCAGTGGAATAAAAAAATCAACAGGGTCAAATTAGGTAAGAAAAATAATGAACTAGTAAGAAAAAAAAAAATGAATATCGTCAAATTATATAAGAAAAAGCATTGAACGTGTATAAAGTAGGAACTGTTTTAAAAAACTAATGAATAACTTTAATTTGGATTTTGAAATGGTAATGCAAATATTGAATTCTAGAAATTATTGGTATTTATTCCCTTCTTTATATTGTTCAATATCAGATTAATTACCATTTTATAGTCATCATATTAACGAAATTGGACTTTTTTCCTTACACACGTTTCTCATTTTGTCATTTAATTACCATTCAATAGTAACAAATTTCACATAAATGTTTGACTTTTTTGCAATTTATGCTTTTTTTAAAATAGAAATCGCAACTAACGTATAGTGAAAAATATTTTTTTCCTTAAAAATGCAGTTTTTGAAAGAACAAAAAATTCAAACAAGTCCTTAATTTTCACCTCTGCTATTTTTTAAATTGTTGAAAAGTTAAAAAAAAAAAAAAGATAAAAAGCTTTTTTTGTAATATTGCTCTTAACTTTGATCCAATCTGATACGCCAATCCCATGGGAATAACAAATTGGATTTTTTCCTTACACACATTTCTCATTTTCATCATATTAATTACCGTTCAATATTGTCATCATATTAACATTGAACATGCATAAAGTAGGAGTTGTTATAAAATACTAATGAATAACTTTAACTTGGATTTTGAAATGGTAATTCAAATTTGAATTCTGAAAATCATTGGTATTTATTCTCCCTTTATGATTGGTCAATACCAGGTTAATTAGCATTCAATATTGTCATCATATTAACGAGACTGGACTTTTTTCCTTACATAATTTTCTGATATTCTTCTTGACTTTCTCCCTAATTTGTTCCCTAATTTCTATTTAATTTCTATCTTAGGAATTTCCTTCATCCAATACCTCACTTTGTTTTTCTTGAATTTCCTTTATTTGATTAATCTTAATTCATATCAGGAATTTTTAAAAAATAAAATAATATATACTTGATAATGGGTGTTTCCATTCCTTCACAATAAGAATAAAAGTGCTCTGTTTCACTTCAACGAAAATAAGTGTTTATTTGGATGAGCTTTCAAAAAAAATAAAAATTATACCTTACTTATTTTAGAAGTGCTTTTTATAAAAGTTAAAGTTTTTATGACTTTTGCTTTTTTTAAAAGCAT